CTTAACTCAAGATTGATGATTGATTTGGTTGAGTTCAATCACATCCATTTTGCCCCACACCTCCAATGGCGCACGATCTTCAACTTCTGGGCCATTACCACTTATAGGGGCCTGGAGAGAGTGGTTATGTGACAGTTACTCAAGATTGATTTCTTTGAATTCAACCATATATCTATATATATATACAGACATCAACTTTGCCCTACACCTCCAACGGCAAAGTCTCTTCATTTCTGGTGACATCACCACTTTCAAGAGCCTGGCGAGCAGCTGTGTAAAAGTATAGCGCAGGGTTTCTTTGAGTTCAACCATGTTCACACCTACTATGTTAGCTATACACATCAACCACCTCTGATGGCAAAGTCTCATCACTTCCATCGCCACCTGCAGTAGCCTGGAGGGACTGGGACCAGAGTGGACAAAAAAACCAATCATAGAAGAGCTTGAAGCCCGGGCTTCACATACCTTGCATGTGGAGGAAAGAGTTCCCTGTTGTGACATGTTCATTCAACCCCCAGCGTTCCTCATCAGGAGCATCCGCGTGATCACCATCGTGTTCAACAACCTGGACACAAAGGGATGGCTGGTGGGTTGTGATTTTTCTTCTGGCTCAATGAAAAAGGTTTTGGAATTGGCACCTGGGTAGGTTCAGGATGTTCAAGCGCAGTGTCATTTGCACCAGAAGCTTCAGCATTGTCCTGATGGGCCGGCGGTGTATTTTTTGTATGGTCCCCTTTCAAACAGTAAGCGCACATACACTTCAAAAAAAATCCACAGCACACAATCCTGAGAGGTAGCAGAACTTTTGGGCCATTGCCATCTACGTAGATCAGTTTTGGGGATCCATGGGCGAGGAGGCCAACTGTCTCTACCAACCACCACAGCATCAACGGGGGTTCCAGTTGTGGATGGTGGAGCCACAGCATGATCAGCTGGACCTTCCGCGGCTTCACCAATTCTTGGCTGTTGCCATCTACGTAGATCAGTTTTGGGGATCCATGGGCAAGGAGGCCAAGAGTCGTTGGTATCAACCACCAATGTCTGCATGTTGTCCATAGGGGATCCAGCTGGACCTGTTGCTTCTTCACCCTCACCACCCTCATGAACAAGGGCGTCGATCGTGGATGTGACCACAGTTGGGCCTTCATTCACACCACCCTCATGAACAAGGGCACCGGGTGTGGATGGTGCTGGTGTGCCTTCACTGCCACCACCAGTGGCAGCCCCGCTTGCAGGAGCCGAAGCAGCATTACCATCAGCTGAAGGATCGTCAACGGGAACGGGTTGAGGTGGTTCCCAGGGATACATGGTGTTCAAGATGTCTTTCAAGTGCTGAACTTTCTCTGACCTAAAAGCAAAAGCTGGAGCGGAGGGGTGTGTGGATTGGCTGTGTGGAATCCACCATTAACGCCTATAGCTAGATGACACTCAGTTCTATATCAGGTGGGATCAAGGCACTTGGATCAAAAACGTGTCTTCCTCCACAAGCGAATTGTGTACACGATGTGCTGCCTGAAAATTCCAGACTCATAATCCGCCCATGAATCCAAGTCCTTTTGCAAAGCAGATTGTGGAAACAGCGCATGCTTCTCGTTGATGTACTTGAAGGCTGCCTGTAGGTAGCAGACTGGTATTGATCTATGGGCCCATGGCCGGCAAGACACTTCAATTATCTTCAAAAATCGATATCGATTGTCAGGGTGCCTTGAACTTCGATCCATTAGGAACTGTCGTTCCAAATTGGGCCAGAACCATGGCAATCTGGTCAAAAAACTTTTCAACAGACTCTTCAGTCGGGTCCACTGGTGCATCACCAACTATCGAGTGTTTGGGGCATGCCCGAAGCTCCACCAGTCCAAAGCTCTGTGCCCAATCATCGAACAAGCACTTGATGAAATCAAGCCTCAGAGCAGCTCATGAAGGTATATACCCCAAACTATAAATCCCAAACTTATAGAATTTCTGCAATCTATGCGTGCTCATGATCATATATGGCCCACCCAAGGAACTCTAAGATGTCCGGGTGAACCTCCTCTTGCGTCATGGCACTCGCAGGACTTGATCACAAATCGTGGCACTGACACTAGTGGCTGCAGATCGGAAAAAAAGACATGGAGCAGCTGATGCGAACCGCGGCACTAGCGGTACAGCAGGGAGGGTGGCACCTTGTGAACGCAAACATTTGGCACGGGCTCGCCACATGAAGGCTGTTCAAATGGCTTCGGTGCTTCATCTCAATAGATTCAATCCCAACCATCACTGGTTCCGGGAATGAACTCTGGTTACCTAATATACTGGTAACCACCCCAGTTACCTCTCTCACAGGTACCTGGTTGGGTTGGGATTGCTTTGACAGAAGAATCATTGTAGGTAATGTTGAAGGCTTTTGTACCACAAAGTCTTTGAAGGCTAGGGGAGGAAGTAGTTTGGGGACACCGAAACGCCTGGAGCTAAAGGATGCAAAGATATGCAAAGTCAAAACGGATGAGCTGTCTATCGATAGACATATGCTCTGCCTCTGCGCCCAACGTTGACTGTAGAAATCTAACGAAACATCGACAGTGGCAATGGGCAATCCCATCATCTCTCAGGCGGTCTGTGACCAAAGCTACTGCAAGATTCTAATACAAGCACCCCAATGTGGTGAATGGACACCTAATGAACACCCCTCAACCTCTAAGGGGCCATTACCAGACACCTTCAAGCGTCCTGGTCATCTGCAAGATATATCCATGAACACCTACCCCAAACCCCAGCTATAATCCACAGGTACAGTGTTGACCCCCAAATGATGGATCTTCACCTCCCAAACATCCGGTGCCAGCGTCTCAGGTCCATCGCTCTCGCTCTCGCTGTTCGGCGCAGGCGTTTCGGCGCACGCGTTTCGCACGTTTGGGACGTTTCGGGCCTGTGGTGAGGTTTCGAGCACCAAGACGGGCGACCTGCCATCGGTCGGACGAGACCGGAACGACAAAGAACGCTCGCCGTCGTACGATGAAAGCGGGAGAGCCGTACGTGCGACCCGAAAGGATGTGGATAGAAACCGGAGATCCAGCTCTTTTCCTCTTTGAGTTCGCCGATAACATGTCTGTGGCCGCTATGCTACTCGAGATCCACTGTACAAATGAGTTCGGGTTTTTATTTGGTGTTTATCTTTCAAGGATTTGAGAATGCCTTGATCAACACCTCGACAGGGGTGTTCTTGTCTTGCCACCATAGGCAAAACCACCTTTTTGAAACAACCAATAGTTTCAATCTGTCTAATGCAAACACCGCTTGCGATGAACAAGTCTGGAGCTTCTGCTTCACCTCGCTATCAGTTTTCTCCCTCCCCACAAGGAGTCCAAGATCGGCCTCGTTCGGAAGAGGTGCCACAAGGAGTCCAAGGCGCTCTGCGAGAAGTGCGTCTGCGACGGCGACCGCGGCGTTTCCCCCGTCGACGGACGGACATGGCATTCGCTCGCATGGTATACAACTGTAAAGTACCAGTTAGAAGTTAGATGAATGTCATCTTGGTCCTGAATCCCTTCAATGTTCAACACATTCAACTACTAGTTGAACCATCGTTGAAGCACTTCTAGATGACAAATAGGAAGAAGACTTGAAAGTGTAAGGTGCAGTGTGTCTGTCTGTGTTCGCCCAAATGTGAACATTCCTACCACATCCACACGCCTCGGGAAATTGATCAATTGGTGCACTCCCGCAGCTGCTTGGAGCTATGAACTATGAGCAAATGGTTGAGCAACAGAATGCAACAAACTTCAAACGCAACATGGACTATTTGCACAAGAAAGAAGAATGAACAAGTGTAAAAATATGGGGAACTATATAATTATAAGAATCAACATACCAATATTAATACATATTATGAATAAGAATAAAACACAAGAAGAAGCATCCAAGCATGGCAAAGAACAGTATCCCTCGAGAATAAGCAAAAGGCCATAGCACCGAGTCTCGTCCGAAAGCTTCATGGCACTACCCGGTCCTGTGCGGCCAAGAAGGCCAAGGACTGGGCCAGTCGCGCTTCGTGCCAGTGAACGGGAGCCACCTCCAGCGGAACAGGCGCAACCGCCGAAGCCAAACAGGCCTCTTTTAGGGTCTTTGCTTCGCAGTCGCCGGTCACCTTAGGGTGACTGACATGTTTAGAATGAATATGCACTGCACACGGCGTACAAGACAATGGAAACATAGCAAACTGGTATGTAGATTTCTTGTAGGAATTGAAATCGAACTACCTAAGGGTTGATGGATTGGGGTGAAACGGATTGGGGTGATGGATTGAATTGGTTCCAGTTTCGGCAATTCGCGTCCTGACCACTTGAACCGGGAACTCTGCACGGCTCCCACGCGAGTGGTGAGAACACGGCGGGTTCCGGTCCGCCTTGGGTCCCAGTCTCCGGCCTTGTCTCCATCGATCACTTGCTCTCCGAGTCATAGGCGTTTTAGTAAACAGAATCAGGTCCTCAGGTCCCTCCTTCCAGGAGGTGTTTGCCTGTTTGTAGAACAAATCAGACATTTGGACATTTGTTAAAGGAAAAATGGTCTTCCACGTCGTGCCATCCACGTAGTAGGTTGGCTCCTGATCGATGATCCACCGTCAAGGGTGAATGGACCAATGGCCACGGGCCACCGGGTTTGCAAACATCGCGCCAAAGGAAAAACCAAAGGGGATGTGTCAGCGCCAGGTAGGGCTCTCCAGTTCAATAGAAGTTCCATTTAAAAAAATATGCATCGGATCATGTCCCACTATGTCCCACTCTCATGGATACACCGGATCGACCGAAGGAAACGATCACAAAACCACCTGCAATGCCCTCTCATGGATACAAAGGTCTGACCTCTCATGCTCTGTCCGGCACTGCCCCGTTTCGTGCGCCATCTTTCGCTGTGCCTCATAGCCCTTCGTGGCATCCAGCACCGTCAGCCCTGTGGTAAAACGACGCGGCTTCACATGCAAATGAGCGCTGCAGGCAACTTCTGCGACAGCTCAAGGCCCAAAATATCCTAAAACGGTCAAGCAGCAAATTGAATCACATTTGTGTGAGAACTGTATAAGGAACCATTCCAGCAACTGGATACCCAGCTGCAAGGGCTTCATATTTGCTTCAAGAGGTAAACGCCTTGACCCAGAAACTCCATATGCAAAGAGCTTGGAAAAAGAGTATGAGCTCAGTCTGTGTGAGTCCTACGATGGGGGCCATGTCTGACTTGGTGTTCGCAAACAAGGGAAGCTGCAGTGCTGCAGCCGCTGAATCCTCCCCACCCAAAAGGTGAACTGTCTGGCCTACTCTGGTCTACTGGCTTCACTCACAGTGAGCATCAGTGATGGAATCTGAACAACTAGTCATTTGCTCTCCAAGGCTCACTGCAAAAGCATCGGGATTTGCAGCAAACGTGTTCAACAATGGATCCTATAGGTTTCTACATGTTTACTCAGAAAGCCTCCCACATCCGAAAACCAGCTGAGCTCCGCTGGATTTCCACAGCTCAAGGTGCTCTCTCGCCTAAGGGCTCTCGTCGGAGAAGTCTCAAGGCAGCGTGGCAGGGCCTGGGCGTGAAGGTCTTCGGTGAAGGTCAACTCACCGGTGAAACATGTGGAAGAACTCGCCACACAAAGACCTGAAGTGGAGAAAAAGAAGGGAGGGTGTTGAAAGACCTATAGGTGGAACGGAACAGTTCAATCATGTTCAATCGGTGGGAGCGCTGGTTTGACTTTTGTTCTTTCGCGTGTTTCTAAGTGGCCCAGAAAGCACAATTTAGAGATGAAAGCACCTGTGCTATCGTTCAGGGTGGTTCCATACATTCTCACGATAGTCTTGGATAGAAAATGGATCATTTCCAACCTCCAAAGAAAGAAACATGGCCAATGATTAATTCAATCAGACTCAAGCCCACCCCGGACTCCAGCTTCCACTATCCTCGCCTATCTAAGCCACCATGTTGAGTCAGAAACAATGACTTCGCACATGGGGGCCCACATGATTCCTACTTCATAGAAAAAAGAAAAACGAGGCAACCGCTTTGGTGGGTTGCTGCAGTGATTCAGGTGATTGAAGGGAAATGATCAAATCCCTCTGAGGAGGATTTTGGCCTCGAGAAATCATTTGGATCTCAAAATGGCCTTTCATCACCGCGTGAAGAGGAATTCATGTAGACACGCGGCAAAAGTGATGAGTAACACATGAGAGGATTCTCAAAACCAAAGATATCCCTTCCAGTCGGCAAACAGGACGCTCTCCTTTTCGCTGGGACGATACGATCTGGACGTCCTTTCGGAGGCGAGCGGATGGCTCGCGCGAGCCTACCGTGGAGGCTTCCTCGCAAGCATGTAGACCTGCAGAGGCCAGCCACCATGGGAGTCCCGCAATAAATCCTCCTGACATGAGTGTTGCAGACCATTGCACGACTGCACTGATGGTGGAAGAGGGGAAACCGAGGAAGGTTGAAGCCAGTTGAAGCAGATGTCTGTGTGAGGCTTAGCATTCCAAAGATGGCTGGTTCGATTAGAAGTCTCATTTACTTGAAGTCCACACTTCCATGCTATGATCATAATCATAGGGTGCACCTTTCCAACATCAAGACATGTCAAAACCCTCCACAAAGATCCACTAAGCATTTGGCGGGTCAAACAATCCATCACAATCCCGGATTGCCCGTCCTTCACCTCGGACGGATTGCACCCTGCTTTTGTATTAAGACGGCTGTTCCCTTACCCAAACACTTCATGGGACTGGTAGATATGCCTACATTGACCCCTTTTCAACCACCCCAATGTATGGTATACATGGAGTGTCTGGGTTATAGCACCCAATTCCCCAAACCGAAGCCCATCCCCAAACTGCCCAAAAACATCGAAACCATCCCTCCAAGACCGATCGATCTCCTCCTGCCAGTAGGGCCGGGTCATTCCCAGGAGGTATCCAGACAGCTCGCGCAAGCTTCCCGGCGCATAGATCTCCAAGACCTCCCCGCATCGGTGATCGGTGGAGACCAGGGGAGACCGGGAGTTCGGGGACCTCCGCTGGGGGGGGGGACCCAGCAGGATGGAAACAGCGTGACGGTGGCAGGCATTTAGACCATGCTGAGATTGGAAGGAAACACCATGACTGACAGTTTAAAGATTGTTGTGGCCGCTCTGGTCCAGCTCTGGTCCAACTATTCTACTATAGATCTCAGATCTCCCTGGATATTGAGGACTGAGAGATGAACAATCTAAGTACGACTGTCACACACTGTCATACATGGACCCCTTGCCTTTTGAGTGTTTTGAGTTGAACACCCTCCAAGAAGTATAGACCAACACCACACTACACACCACATCACACATCTCAACACTCCCTAGGGATCCAGTCGTACATTCTCAGAAGGCACTTGGACCCTCTACAGCCACCCCAAACACCTTCTGAGAAGGTACTTGGATCCCTAAAAACTCGTCTTCAACGTTCGGAACGCTCGCCTCGAAGCCGGCGTCTTCCGCGAGCGTCTTTGCGCCGCTGGGCGTAAAGCGCCAGAAGTCCTCGGAGTGGAGGGGCTCCGCGTTGCGTCACAGATCAAGTGCACTCCCCAAAAGAAAGATCCATAAGTTTTTGGGCACACACACCATGAGATCATCATCACCATCATCTTGCATATCCTTTCTGCCATCTACACGGGTGCTTCCTCTCACTGTACCCGGGAAAAGACACATAGACATTTACAGTAAAACAAACAAACACACAAACGCACCCCCAAGCGAGAACACACAAACCAACACAAAGCCAAAACCGGTCCGTCCGGGACCGGTCCGGGACCCGGCGGTCCTGGGGCGCTCCGTGGATCTCACTGAAGAGCGGCGCCGAGAAGGCCAGGACCCTCCGCCGGCGCCCCGCGTCCGAAAGCGGAGAATCTGAGGGACTCATTGGATGGTTGATGGTTGCTTTTCTTTTTGGCTGGAAAATGGGTTGATGGAGAGAATGGGATGGGAAAAGACGACCTCGAGGGATCCATTGGCGAATCGATGTGTTGCTTCACCTGCGGAAGCTTGGCCGTCTCAGATCTTATCGTCTATAGTGCTCTCCACTTCTACAATTGGCTTCGATGACGAATCCTAACCCTTCCCACCAACCAAAGCCCACAGCCAAGGTCCAACACTCCAAGCCCCAAGCAACCACTCCAACTGACAAACCAACATAATTACTGACCCAACTCCACACAACCGTTCCCAATGACCGTCCCAGTTGATCCCCGAAAAAAACTCACAGCATTCCCAAACCATCTGACAGGCAGCACCTGGACCTCCCGACTGCGACATTCGGTGCTGGGTCCCCACAAGGCGCAAACTTGTGCATTCCACCGAATGTACAGCTTCTGGGTGACCAACCAGCACTGATTCACCAAATATTTGTGTCCCTTCCAAAGCCTCTCCGCTCCCGGACCGCGGTTTCGACCTCGGTTTCGACCGCGCGCGACCGCGCACAAGCCGTCCGAGGAGCCCGAGGGGCGCCATCAAACGGAAGATCTGCCGCATCGCCTTGAAGGGCTGACGCAGGTGTTCGAAGACCTGGGGTCGGGTCGCGGGTTGGCGCAGGTGGTCTTCGACGAGAGAAGGCGGTCAAACGATGGGCACGGCATGGAAGGCGCGGCTTTTGTTTAGTGTCAACAGATGTGCACCATGCGCGTATAATTGGCAAGAAGTATTTTATAGTATATATTTGATTTATGATAATGGCCATTTCAAGTTTGGTAGGCAAGTATCAGAGACACTTATAAGTAATAACACAAACACTGCCACCCTTCAAAAACTTGTCAGGTTTTCAAACGAACAGGATCACTTGAGGCCAGGGGTTGGTGACGAAAGCTAGTCTCAAAACGGATGCTATCAGAACTACCCCAGACACGCCATGTATGCCATATGTCAATGTATAGGCATATATGGCATACATTAAGTGTCTGGGTACTATGCTCCCAAATCTAAGGCGTCCAAGAGGGGAGTTGAACCGGTGCAGCGGGGGTCTAGCAGTCTAGCAGTGGAATATTCACTGGGTAGCCGATTCCATCCCCCAGCCAGTAACTTGCTAAAGCACGAGTACCTCCAGCTAGCTGAAGCTAACATCACCAGAGACCACATTCTCCACTAGTTCTTCACTGGGAATAACATCTTAAAGCCGTTGTTCTATCGCCTCGCCTGAGCACAGACCACCAGAGCGGTGGAGTTCTCAGGTACCACCTGTAGCGATTGGTTCACGTGCGTGAAGCGAAAAGCATAAATACAAAGACGGCGAACTTTGGGACCAATTGGGACTGGCATATTGGATCATCTTGGCATATTTACAAAGACTAATTTGAACACTGGCATGCAGCATATCGTCAATATTGACACTCTTCCTTCCATTCACCATATCCCAGTTACAGCGCTCCGAGGTCACTTGCTGGTATAGAACCCATAAGGAACCTGGTATATATATAGAATGTCAACCTACTATAATGAACCCCAAAAACACCACCCCTCACAACCCTTTCACAACCTGGATGGAGCTTGTGGAGCTCGAGCTTCTCGAGCCTATATAATTAGCATTGCAAGATTTGTTTTTAAGATGCGACACATCATCGCCAGCTCCTCAGTTACCTGTGACACAAGTAACTGGGAAGCCTACTGCCCTGCAGATTAGCATGAAACCCTTAAAAACACTGGGTTGTATATAAAGGAAAACGGTTGAAACCACGGGCCAATTCTCCAAGGAATCATCTGCGGGAGGTACGAGTAGGGTTTGAAATCCAAGCTCTGGACATTCCGAACACCCTGCGTTGCTCAGCTTGCTGAAGTTCCATGGCACAGGCCAAGCCAATACATGGAACATATATTTCTTCTCCACGTGTTTCCTTTTGGAAGGTTTTTTTAATGGGACACGGGTTTTTTATGATCCACTAAACAAAAAACAAACAACTGTTTGCTTTCGGTGCCTGGTCAATGGCTTTTGATGGTTCCATGCCACGAACACTGCAGGGACACCGTCGACGAACCCGGCCACCGGCCACCGAGTCGTCGAGTCGGCTGAACTGCCGCGCGCCTGATCTGCAATGTGAATGTCGATCCTCGGGTGATTCTGTTACCGTTGTCTTTCCGTTACGGACAGGATTCAAATTTTGTTTTTTTATTGCACATGCTCGCCTTAGGCTTGCCTTTGGTTTCGCTGTAGTTAATGGTTTTGCTTTGAGTACTTACTCCAAGTGGTTGGGTTGCACCACGGAACAGGAGCTGCATGGGGTTCTTCTTCTCAACAAAACCAACAATTGCCTTACAAACTTTGGCCCTTTCTTCCAAGCCGTGCCTACGGGCAGGCACTAACTTCTGACTCTCCCCACATGTTGATTCGAAAGCCAAAGCACCGACCAAAGCATCCACTGCTTTTGATTTGCTCAACACTTAGATCTATAGAGCTATATGGATTGAACACTTCTGTGTCTTCTCCAGAAAGGCTCTATTGGTCTCGTGAGTCTCGAAAATCACACACCCTCAAAGGATCTCAAGAAACCTCCGATTCTTTGGTTTCGGCCCCTAAAGACTCATAC